TGTATGTAATGCCACTGTACAATGTAACACCCACTTTCCACTAATTATGTTATGAGTTCCATGTAATAGGGAGTGAGCCTATTGCTGCATACCGGGCACCGGGTGTCAAACCGGGTGTGTTCCAAACTCCGTGCTGCTACTAAGATTTTTTTTTAATAACTCCGTTATGCATTGCCCGATCCGGGAATCGAACCCGAGACACCTTGCCCGGCAGGTGCACTTCCGATCACTCGACCAACGAGGCAGTCACTAAAATATCATGATTAGATATTGTGCTATTTTGATATGTACGTCATATTCTATTTAATAGTCGTAATGTTTTTTTACAATACGCATTGTGGCCTGGCCACTGGCCTAACTAGTCTGGTAAAATAATGAAAATACAAACCACTACGAAATGGGCTACCGTATTTTTAGTCAATAGATGGCGCAAATGTAGAAAAATTTTGTCCAATCACATCACTTGAAAAATATTGAACGTCTAATGGCGTGACAATAGCTAATTGGCTACTTGCCAACTAGTCAAATACTTCTTTCGAACTGTCAAAAACGACAGATTCCTATGAATTTTGTACAAGATTGTGTACTGTGACGTCACGTTTTTTTAGCGTCAAACAACATACTAATTTCTTTAAAAAAATACTAATATTAATTTTGTCATAAAATCAAGTAATGAAAGTGTGATTAGTTTTTAATATTTTATTGTATTGAAAAGTCTAAATAATTAATTTTTAATTAAGGTACGAAGAACGAGAGGCGAGAGGTTTACACTAGCGCTATCGGATGAGCCAAAATACTGTAGGACCCATTGTTTTTAAGCGAAAAATGGGCAAATTTTTGTGTAACAACCCAAAGAGTCTTTTTTACCTGGGGTGGTATCTCCAATGTGAAGTACTGATTGTCAGCATCAGCGCTTAGCAGGTCTATGGCTAACCAAGGTAACGTCCACACTTGAGGTTCTAGCCAGCATGCTGCCTGTAAAAAAAAGATAGAGAAGTTTTAATATGGTTTCTAAGGGTCTCAACTACATCATAACGTACTTGAGATTTGTAATAACTGCACAAGAGATGAAATGAATGAATGATCTAAAATTAAGTTTGTCATAAAATCAATGTGATTATTTTTTAATATTTTATTGTATTGAACAATCGAAATAATTTATGTTTGATTATGGCAAGTAAGTACTCAATTCTGGTGACAGGCAAATAAGGTTTTACTAAAAGGAGAATCAATTGTGTGGTATAAATAAAGTAAAAACCACTAAAGGACAAGTTCTATTTTTCTTCAGTGGTAGAGCGGAAGAAGGCCCTCGAGGAATTTTTCACTAAAACATTGACTGTTTTAAGATCAAACTCGGGAGAGAAACTTGTGTTTAAACTGGATAATAATATTACCTCTCTACGGTTCCAAAATTCGTCTAAGATAAGAACTTGAGACTTCCTAAATTCATTCTTCAACTCATCAACAACCTGGAAAAATAATTTAATATTAAGTAATTATTACTGAGCGTGACATAAACGTCTATTAGCTACAAATTTAAGACAAAAAAGTGTATCCTATATTATTGTAGCAATTAGGTATTAATCTCCATCAGGCACCATCATCGCTTGCCACCAGGTGAGATAGTGGTCAAACATCGTATGACCACTATCTATAGCCCATCAAATATAAAGTCTCCAATCAATAATCAGATGAATTTTCCTGTTAAAAGCAGTACATGGTATATTATTACAGCCAATATTACTTACTTATTACTGGGTTTTTTATAAATTCTCAGTAGTAGCACAGAGTCTGGGATTGTGCACGGTATATGGCAATAGGGTCACCCCCTATTACATGGGACTCATAACATAAATAGTGCAATGTGGGTGTTACATTGTACAGTGGCATTAAGTGCCATAATGTGCACCTCTGCCTAATCCTTCGGTGATAAAAAGGCGAGATGTTATGTTATTACTTACCTCTCTAAACAATTTATCAGGTAATTTAATCTGCGTAGTACCGCTATCAACAATACTCTTGACCGTATTCAGTTGCGTGCACATATCTTTGTCAGGCTCCCTTATTTCATCCGCCGTTTTGTTCTTAGCTTCAGATGTCAATGAACTTAGGACTCTGACACCTATGACGCCTACTTCGTACCATCGCTTCCTTAGTACTGGGGTCCGGAATGTTTTATTGTAATTTGATTGCGGTGTTTGGTTGTCTATGAATTAATTAGATATTATTATGCGAAGGTTACAGTTATGTAATGGAAAGGCAATTATTTTAAAACAAACTCATGGAAGTGCAACAGCCGAGCGCAAGATTTAAGGTCCATTCCCAGATAGGGCAAAATCATCTAGTAATTCGTTGGTACTAGAAATCTCCCATAAAAGTCACTGAGAATGTAAGCAATCCAGAACTAGGTCATAGGGACTCTATTACAATGAAACAAATAATTAATTAACTATGTAGTTTCAATCAAAAGTGGATAACGAACTATAAGGAGTAACAATACTGGAAACAGTATATAGAGGTATAAAATATATAAAAAAGTATAGATAAATCAACTGAAAAGTTGAAACACGATTTTAATAGTTATATATATTACATTACATTGCATATTATATTACATTGACTGCCTCGTTGGCCGAGTGGTAGCAAGTGCGACTGCCGGGCAAGGGGTCTCGGGTTCGATTCCCGGGTCGGGCAAACTATTACTGGGTTTTTAAACAAAATTCTCAGTGATGGCACGGAGTCTGGAATTGTGCCCGGTATATGGCAATAGGCTCACCCCCTATTACATGGGACTCGTAACATAAATAGTGAAAAGTGGGTGTTACATTGTATAGTGGCATAATGTGCACCTCTGCCTACCCCTTCGGGGATAAAAGGCGTGATGTTATGTATGTATACGTATTACATATACAAATATGCTCTTACTTACCAATAACTTTAAAGTATCCATAATGTGTAGTGTTGGACGTGCTTATTGGTCCACAGAGTTTCAATTGAAATGACATTGGCTTGTTCAAGTTGCGATCCAGTGCATCTAACCAGGACTCCACTGCACCGGACTTTCCCCAAGCTCCAACTGGATTATAGGCGAGGCCCAAAAGACCCTGGAATAGAAATTGATTGATATTAACATCATTGAGAAATTTGAGAAATTTATAGCATCATTGAGAAACCATAAACGGAGTTCAATCATTTTGAATAACTCTAGTTATAAGTCAAGGTCTAAGTCAAAATTTATTTCAATTAGACCAGGCACTTTTGATTGTCAACAAAAACGTTTAAAAGTGAAGCTATTTACTCATTCCTAGGTGTAGATTCCTATGGAGAAGAATGAGCAAGAAACTTAATAGGTTACTCTTTTTCAATCAGGTTCACAATACAATTATCTAGTTACATAGTTTGTTGGTTTGTATGTTTGTTATATTGTATGTATAGGGAATAGGATCACACTCGTGTGGAGTATCATCCTTGTATCTGGGACTCATGAGTAACTGAATATAAACTGTGTAGGTACTTTGTACGGTTCATACACTTGCAGATTGTAGTTAATTGTTGGGGTGTGAAGAGAAAAGAACACGAAGTTGTAGTTAAAGAAGTACAGTTGTATTACTGATAGTTACTCTAGTTCGTCGATATTGACTATTCCTTTCTCTTAAGTAGTTTGTGGTATCGTTGTAAAATGCACACTGGTCGGTGTGTGTAGCAACCGTGTATTTATAATTAGGTAAAAATGACACTGCAGTCGTACCGACTGCAGTGTCATCAAAAAGCATGTACTGTTGAAAACCGTACAACTTCATTTTAAAATGTATGTGTACTTCTGTTGAATGGTTTCCATTATTGGATTTTTGTTTATTGTTTACACTTACAAAGATGTAGACAAACTTTAGATTAAGATAGATGTCGTGATTTACAAAACTAAACTTGGATATTCAATATTAAACTCGAAGTAATAAGAGCCTTATTGTTATACAATAAGACTCAATTCTAATAAAAAGCTGTAATTAAACCCACCTGCCAAACTGAAGCTTTGGTGAAAAATTCATGGCTCTTAGTTATGAGCGCAAAGTCTGAGCGCACTTCCGGTATACTTAGTGATGGAAATTGTATGAAGTCTGAAGCAAGGAGGCCCGTCCATGTACCCTGAGTGTATGCTGCTTCTATCTGTAAATATGGATATTTTTTAGGCACAGTACTAGATCATTCAATACGACCATAGTAGTGTAGAAGTATGCTTCGACACTTATGGGCCGGTTTGACCAGAGTGATACCACGACCTTGCAGAAAAACTGACGTGAAACAACGCTAGTGTTACGTTTCGTCGTGTGAGGTTACCGGAGGCCTAATTAACCCTCCTTCTCTTATAACTACCGCACTTGTATCGCCTCTGGGGTATCGGGTGTGCATGCGCGGCACCGATTGCCTACCATCAGGGGACTCGTCTGCTCGTTTACCGCCTATATACCGTAATTTTACGTTAAATGAGAAGCACTGATTAGTGAAATAGTAGTAATAAACAGAACAAGTATTGAATAATAACAGGCAAAATAAATTGCTATTAGCTTCACTATTATACAATTGTTACTTACGGAAGATACTTTAAATTATCCGCTAATTAGACTACTGAAAACTCAATCAGAAATTATAAAATAAACCCTTAAACTACTATAAAGGTTTTACTCCATCTATACTCACAGTGGTGCCACTATTATACAGACTGCTTGAATTGTCCGCATGGAAGTATACACTACTATCTTCTCGAGCATAGGCAGCTAAGGCCAATGTTGTACTCCCTGTGTCAACTAGTAATTTGAACTGGAAAAAAGTTAGTATTATCAACTTATTAGAGATAAATTATGTGTCTTTATTTCTGTGGGAGAAAATATATCAAAAGGTTATCAGAAAAGATGTGATAAATAAGTAGATAACTTAGTTTTGTATTATCCAATAAATAGGTTTAATCACAGTGCTATTTGTTTAAGTGATGATAACTTTAACAATATTTGTGTTAACATTCGTAAAAATCTTTTAATCTTCTAAACATAAAAGATTCCAGTTTCAAATCTACATTTCATTATTCTAGAAAATCTTATAAGAGTTTTAAGATACTGAGTAAAGTCGTATTCATTTATAATAATATTGTAGTGAGGCAAAGCTAATATTGAGGTTACATTAGAACAATTTTGCATATGACTGGCAACTACACAGATTCTCAGAATATTGATGAAAACATAAATAGAATTAACAACTTTGTTGCAGATCGTATTTTTGGGTGTTCCATACGACCTCTTTTATTTTGTAAATAACTATATCGATTGGAGACTGGCCAATTATCATCAAAGTAACTAAATGATTAGGTACCTACTCAAAATAATGCACTTTAGTTTTAACTGTTTGTTCTTTATTCGAAATTTGAATATGATAGAAATGTTTGTTTTTTATTCTTACCTTTTGGTGTGGATGACCTATATTTACTTCTATAGCATAAGCTTCACCAGCATCGCCGTACAAATTGATTTCTTCTCCAAAAGAGCAACTCAAAGAAACAACACTGATTTGAAAAATAATAAATATCACTGACATCTTTGTTTATATTAACATTATATAGCTGTAAAATGAATGCACAGAAATTGATTGAAATAGGTAGGTAGTGAAACGTCTCTATTTCTGTTTGTTTACAATGATTTAAAATAAATATTTACGCTGATCCTCTCATCGAGAAATCAATCAGCTGTCAAAGTATCTGTTATAATTACATGCTCTGTGGTATCTGTGTTGTTGACAATGACATTACTGTACTGCCTTCAGTGATTATTTCAAAATCTTGTCTTTTTGGCTTCGTAAACCACTCAGTGGTGGTAATGGTGAATCGTGTGGTAGTTTATGAGTGGGTGTAACAATGGTGTAACATCACTATACATAGTTTGATTGATAATAAGTATAAAAATACTATGTATCTTAAATAAATTAAAGCACTGGTGTAGGCTTGGCATGAAAAACGCAAAATATTGTAATCAGAAGTCAATTTCGAAGCTGGGAACACAGAATAGCGCGCGCTTTTTGATGTCTGTTTTGTTTCTCGGCTGTCAATGTCATATAACGGCTAAAGGCTAACCTCGATGTGGAATTGTGGAAATAAATAATTGTGAATTGTTTTGAAAACGCTAATTTTAAATTGAAATAATGAGTCTTTGGGTAGACAAGCATCGACCGAGAGATTTGATGAAGCTGGATTACCATAAAGATCAAGCGGTGAGATTGAAAAGTTTAGTTCAGCAAAGTGATTTTCCGCATCTTCTTGTTTACGGTCCTTCAGGAGCCGGTAAGAAGACTCGCATCATGTGTTTACTACGAGAACTTTATGGCTCTGGTGTTGAACGCCTAAGACAAGAAACAATGACTTTTACAACACCTTCCAATAAGAAAGTAGAAATCATGACTGTAAGTAGCAACTATCATATTGAAGTCAATCCAACTGATGTCGGAATTCACGACAGAGTGGTTATTATGGACCTAGTGAAGAATGTGGCACAAACTCATCAAATAGATTCATCAGGGCAGAGAGAATTCAAAGTTGTTATTCTCAATGAGGTGGATGACCTAACAAAAGACGCCCAACACGCGTTACGTCGAACCATGGAGAAGTACGTCGCAACTTGTCGCTTAATACTTATTGCAAACTCCATATCTCGTGTCATTCCTGCTATCAGATCCCGTTGTCTAACAATCAGGGTGCCAGCACCTACAGAAAGCGAGATTGCTTCAGTACTCCAATTAGTTTGTAAAAAAGAAAGTTTGAATTTGCCATCAGACCTAGCGACGAGACTTGCTAAAGCAGCAGACAGGAATTTAAGGAGAGCATTGCTTATGTGTGAGGCTTGTAAAGTTCAACAGTATCCATTCACATCAGATCAAAAGATCCCAGAGCCTGACTGGCAACAATTCATCAGAGATACAGCCACAATGATACTATCTGAGCAAACTGCAAAGAAACTTGGAGAAGTCCGACAAAAACTGTATGAGTTGATAATACATGGTGTTCCTCCAGACATGATCTTTGCAGGACTGTTGAAGGAATTGGTTCGTAATTGTGATATGGCTATGAAATGCCAAGTGGCCAGTCATGCAGCAAACTATGAACATAGAATGCGACTGGGCAACAAACCTATATTCCACCTTGAGGCGTTTGTTGCTAAATTCATGGCAATCTATAAAAAGTTTGTTGAAGAGTCTATGGGTGATGTTTTCTAATATTAAAAATATTAAATCAAACATAATGCTGTGCCTGTTTTATCTATTTTAATAAATACCTTATTCAGTTTTATTCTGCTGGTTTTAATTCAATAAAAGTACAGATATTTTCCTGAGTTAGTTACTTGTGTTTATTCATTACTTGTTGTAATACTTATAGTAATATTTAATGGGTACATTCATAGAGAACAATCTAAAGTTATCGACTACAGAGTGCATTATGGCTGCTGTGATTTCATTAGAAAAGTGATCCAGGATTGATGGCTTTTTCTGTAACGCTTCATCAATGATGTATGAATCTTCAGAATCTGTAAAGAAAAATAAATAGTAAATGAATTTTGTACAGAAGTTCTTATCTAAAGAGGTAAATAAGTAAATATTTATAATAATTTCCATGAACACATTGTTATACAATTCACTTAAGAAACTTAATCTATTTTGTACTTTATTACAATTTAACAGAGAACAATTATTTTACTAGTTAAGATTCGAATTTGTTACAGACAACAACAGTTGATCAACATCAAAGGCAATTATTTATTAACCTACTAATGGATTATTCTTGTTTTGCTCTAGATTAGTCTAGATAATTGTCTAGTCTAGACAAACTTACCATCTGAAATCTTGTACTTAATTATTTAGATAGGTAGGTAGGTATAGTGTTAGTGTACCTACTAAGTAATATTTTAACTGCATTTTGCCACTATAATTACGTCAGGTATTTGTTTATAATATAGATCTTAACACATATTTCACAAACTAAAAAGACCTATTGCGCAAAAATCGAACCCGCGACACTTTGAGTGTGGGAAAGCCATGCTTCGGCACGAATGGGCCGGCTCAACCGGAATGACGGCCATACCACGGCCTCACAGAAAACCGAAGTGAAACATCGCCCCCCCCCCCCAGTCTACCCAATCCTCGAATCCTCTACAATCCTCAAATTTTCATTACCCAAAAAGCCGAGAATGCACTTGTGACACCTTCGCATTTCAGGTGTCCATGGCCGATTGCTTACCATGAGGTGATCCGTCTGCTCGTTTACCGGCTTATGCCATAAAAAAACTTTCCACATCCACAGAAGCACCCATCGACATGCATGACCCATGTAGGAAGTACATACCTCCATTAATTTAGTAGGTAGGAATAACAACAAGGATAAATAAACAAAACATAAATCAAGTCTCACTTGGTTGTAAAAAATACGTTGGAATTCGCCTGTTCCTGATGGCTATCCTCTCGGGACCGATTACAATGTAATCCTCATTATCGTGGCCCCGCTGTATGTTGCCCACATAAGTAATATTGCTTTCTGCACCCTCTGCAATAAAATACAACATTTTTAATAATCAAGCTTGTTGAATGCTGAAATGGTTGATGAAGATGTATGGTGGGTACTCGTTTTTTTGTTCTTTAATATTTTTTCTACAGCTGTGTATTAGGATACTAGCTGTGCCCGCGACTTCGTTCGCGTGGAATAGTGATTTACTGCGCATATCCCGTAGGTGATAGCGTGATAATAATATGTACCTACCCTATATGTTGACCCGATCTGTTAGTCATAATTATACAAAATTTGAAGTAAATCCATGCAGTAGGTACTTTTTGAGATCATCCCGGACATACCCTATATACCTACCTACAAACAAACAGACAAAAATTGTATAAACCATATTTTTGGCTTCAGTATCGACTGTAGATCACACCACAAGTATTCTTTTAAAAAAATATTCAATGTACAGTTTTGAATTTTCTAGGTAGGTACGGTTTTATTATTAGATTGGTTAAAAGTATGTGCCTAGGTAGGGGTTATCTCCCGTGGAGAAACTAACGGGTAACCGGGGCTCCGGCTCGACGTGCAGGTCAGAAAGAGTCTGACACTCCCTCCCGCCTCACCCAGGCGGGAGCAGTCACTCGATGATTTCCCCCCCTTAAAAAAGGGGGTTATCTCCCGTGTTGTGGTTTAGTTTTACAAACACAAAGTTCACTTAGGCCAGGTAGTCACACACCCATTGCCAAAACAAGTGTTATTTGTGGATCACACATATGTAGTTGTTCTGTGCTGGAATCATGAACCATTCGTGCATGGCTTGATAATATACCTACGCCGCAATACAAAGAGTAGCTATCGGTCGCTTAACTAATGCGCAAACCGCGTAAAGCGTGGGTAGAAAGGAAATTACACATTAAAATTAAAAAATGATAACATCTCACTTTAATTATGATACTCTCATAATTAAGTACCAACTTAAGTAGTAATTAGTGACTTACTAAGTACCAATTTAAAGTAGGTATTTAACATGACACAATATTTAAAACATTGCGTTACATTGCTGTTATTTTAATATGCAGATTGTAGGAAATTACAGAAAGTGCGCTAAACTGCAGTTGGACAAAGTTTAATTGCTCGAGACGGGGTGTTAGGTTTGGTACACACTGCACGGAGACTTAATTTACCTTTGGACACACTTTAGGTAGTTTGTGTTCAGGTGAAAATCTGAAATAACTGGGCAATGACTCGCTGTTACGAAGTGGGATTACCTACTTCAGAATTTAATTCCTGCTTTGAAACTTCAAATTGGTTGAATCAGGTTCTATCTGTTGGTTATGGTAGAGAGAACTGGTTCATTTACCTTACGTAACTATTCAAAGGTACTCAAGTACAAGTACAAATTATTTCGTATGGTTTGTTCTCAATAATAATATTATGGACCTACCCACAAGTTGTCAATTACAATAATTATTTGTAAACGACATGACGTGATAGTGGTTTGTCAACTTACGTATATCCATAGTTATGAAAGCGTTATGGGGTTCCGGCCTCCCAGCCACCTCCATGCTTATCTGACCGGTCAAATGTAGATCGGTGAGAAATACCGCACCAGTTCTACCACCTTCTAAATTAAACCTGAAAATAATAAAAAAATACAAAATAAATTCAGAAAAATAGGTAAAAGTAATTATGTTCAAAAATGAATTTGGAGATGCTGGGATTTGAACCCAGGACTTTCAGCATGCGAAGCAGACACTCTACCACTGAGTTACATCCCCGGTGAACTATAATGTTGAAATTAACGAATAATATCTACCTCTATAACCTTGGTGAACAAGGATATAAAATAATTTTCACGTTTTGATGTAAAATGGACAAGCAGAATATAATGTATAGATATTCTTGGAGTCATCAATGATTCAATACAAAATCTGTACAGGTTTGAAACCACAACACGATAGGCATAGTTCTAGTTCAAGTACCTACCTACTTAGTTCAGCATTTCGTTTTTTACTTGTTAACATTTAACCGAGCAATTACAAAAATATATAATGCATCTATGCTTAGGTACAGCATGCCGATGTACCTACTGTTATCTAAGTGTGTTTAGATGCTCAGGGTCTTATTTAGAGATAATTAGGTAAGTCGTTGACAGACAAACCTAAAGACCGATTACATTAACCTTTTTGCTACAAATCTA